TAGCTTCGTCATCGTTTTGCAGTTGATTTAAATTGATTTTAGCCAAGACATGCGAGTGGAAGACATGAACTTGCGGCAATAATATGCACTGACATAAGACACCACATCCGAGCTCAGCAGTGAGTGGACGACGCTTCGTTTAAACTCTCAAACACAACTCGTAAAGCTCCAACTTCACAGCAAATTAGGAGATAGCAGTCGTCGGCCTCTTCGAACAACAGAGTCACTGCTTCAGCCTTTTTCACCTCACCCCACTATCCGCGCTGCGCAAAGAACGAAACTTAAACTGTGGGAAAAAGTCCGCTAGATACCCCAATCAAATCCGAAGCCTGTACTTGCCATATTTCCCATGGGGATACACAATTAAGTGCCAGATTCTTCTCTAAGTTTCAATGTATGAAAGTTTATGGTCACAGGCACGAAGTAGGTGGGTAGCTGGCACAACTTGGAGGAACAGAACGATACTAAAAAAAGGTTGCCTGCGGTAACGTACGTCGTCATATCCACCAGCACGACTTCTGGCAGATAAATGGCGAATCAGCCCATTTATGGATTACTTATCAGTGCTGCCAACTTAAGAAGCCACTTTTTCTCTCTCTAGAGTGAAATAATTTCCAAAATTTTCCTAGTTTTTGAAGGAGAGCGGTTTGTTTTGAAGATTATAATGCGTTTGTGCTGCGGAAAACAATTTCCAGATTACTTTCATAATATGACAGCAGATTTGTATGAAAATATACAATAAGGTTACAATGTTGAAGGTGAAAATATGTCGCAGTACAATTTTAAAAGCATTTTATCCCGTGAAATTGCAAATATAAGCAGTCACCACACTTAAAGGGGAGGGGAGGACATGTAGTATCGCAAGGTTTTATGCAAGTCACCAAGAAAAAAGCATTGCATATAGGTCAAAGAAGGGATAAATTATCGAATTAATGTTTAGGAGCACTGCTAGCTGTTCAATGCAAAACACAAAATCTTACACTGCAATACAGTGCACTTGTAATAGCAGGCAAGTTACAAACCAATATTTTTATTAATAATTACAATAATAACCAGAACGAGCATATAAAGCCCAGCACGTGAAATATTCCGGCGAGCAAGCTTTCAAAAATCATCCATTATGTTTTTTTGCAATTTCTGTTATTCTGTTAATATTTCGCGATTCTGTTATTTTGCAACTCTCCTTCAGAAAATACTTGTCTGTGTTCATATAAAACATGAAGTGATGCACACTTCTTAAATAATAAACGATGTCTTGAAAAACGTTTCATATTGTGACGAAAAATAGTTTAACCATGAAAGCATATTATGTTGTGTGGCAGTCCACCTCTCGCAACCTGCTGAATGGTTACAAAAAGATACGTTTATTGGAAATGTTCACTGCCATATATTCCTTTCAAATATATCCTTGCGTTCTTTCACTAGCCACTTTTTTTAGCTTTTATTTAGCTGTGCAAACAACCGCATACATTCCTGCTGCTCTGACCGTGCTTCTTACGGAAACCTTAGTTACCTTAGCGGAGCCACATGGCTCTACGCGGCAGCTCACTAGCAACGTGACAGCGTTCGAAAAGAAGTAAAACTTATAAAAAAACAACAAAACAACGAAATAACGCCACTGGTGAAAGACGAGAAAATAGGAGGATGGTGCAAACGAAAACGTATGATTGGCGAACTCCAGAGAGAGCACTTTTCTTTTGGTTCTAACCGAGATTCAGGCAATAGACGTCGAATATTCACGACAAAGAATCAATCGCAATGAAGTGAGGGAGAGGGGAGCGTTCGCACAGGGTTGGGTACGGAGACCGGCCCTATCACCCCTTTGAACTCTCGGAATCGCTGCTGGGCATGGCACAGCGCTTTTAGGTCAGCGTAAAGGGGTGAAAAAAAGAAAAGTTGAAAAAAGAACCAAAAAAAGAGGTTTTGGGCGGGAGGTCTCTCTGTCAATTTGTATGCTTCGCGTAGAAGCAAAAAATTTTCCTAGATGTTGACAAATTTCTCTGTTTCCCTAAGTACAAACAAAATTCTCTTGATCAAAGGAGTTTTCGTTAAAGTTAGCAACACTGTTACTCAGTGACACCGGACGCCCGATATATGGTGATTCGTTGCATATAGGTAAACATGCACACAAGGACAGGTAATACCCATATAGAGTGACTGCAATGAACAAGAGTATGTGCAACAATTCTCCACAGCGGCACACACTTTCAATGCTTTACTCACACACTACTACGAAAGCGTGCAAGCTTGTATAGCAATGAATTTAGTTCGGATGTTAAGCCCCACAAATCAATCAAATCAAATCAAATCAGCAATGTATTTCGAGTGATCATAGTGGCACAAGGGACAAGCAAACTTTGGTCAACATTTTTACGTTTTTAGCCATACCACAACATGCGCACAGATAATTATGTTGTATCTGATCCTTAGCAATCGGAAGTTTATTACCGGTTGCACAAGAATGAGTGAAATAATGACTAGATCTTATCAGGTTTTCGCTAGAACGATTACCCCAAGCCATGCATGGAATGCCATGGGCATTCCGAAGGCTGCGCCATCTGTTGACTACTGCGACAGTAATTTTTTTTCTTGAAGCCTCCGAGAAACCAAACGCTTGCCATGCACTTGCAATTTCGGAAGTCACGTCTTTATTTATTCTTCCACTTGTTATTCGGAGAGGGCGCAGCATGCTGGCCAGACTTGGCCTTCGTCGTGGTAGATGTTCTCTGGTCACTCGACCTCGTTCAGTTATTTCGTGTTAACGTTTGCTTATATTATTTCTACGTGCTTACCGCAAGTGTGACCGTTAGCCATGGATACAGTACACCTCTAGCCCTCCAATGACAATGTTTTTCATGCGGTAACGACAGTCTTAGCAGTGTATACGTACGTTACAACGTAGGTCGTGCGATTGAACGATTGATATGTGCGGCTTAACGTCCCGAAACCACCATATGATTATGAGAGACGCCGTGGTGGTGGGCTCCGGAAATTTAGACCACCAAGAGTTCTTTAACGTTCGCTCAACTCTGAGCACACGGGCCTACAACATTTCCGCCTCCATCGGAAATGCCGCCACCACAGCCGGGATTCGAACCCGTGACCTGCGGGTCAACAGCCCAGTATTTTAAACACTAGACTACTGCGGCGGGGCGTGGGTCGTGCGAGAAAAATAAGAAATGACCCCGCACCCGATGGTGTTCTTTCGAGAGCGATGGCAGTGGCAGTTGGCGTTGCGGCAGCTAGATTACTTCATCGGAGAAACTAGCACTGCAGTGCGCAAAGTTACTATAATGTTATTATAGCATGCTGTGCCTACAAACTTTTTCGCTTCACATGCGTCTCGCGATTTGCCTCGCGTGTCAACATTCAGTCGTTGTGCGTGCCACAGTTTTGTTGTTAGCGCTGTGGGTGTGGTGGTTTCTATTACTCTGGCTTTTTATTACTCTTTTCACAATGGTGAGTGAGAATGTTATTACTTACCTGCTGTGCACAGCTGTTACCAGAATTGCATCTTGTATTTGAGTTTCTTCCGACAAAGGATAATTGTGTGGACGAGAAAGGCATACTGCATGCGTACATAATTCCGTCTTACCTCTCACAGCTGGCATTGGCAATTCAAAACGCAAGCGATCGAGAATTCGGTTTAACTGGCAGAATTCATTCTTTTACTTTTCACATAAATGCAGTTATTGTGATTTTTAAAACGTTCATGGAGATTGTAACCCAGTATGGCAAAAAAAAAACGCTCGGTGAGACTTCGCAGCCTGTCTCGTTTGTGCTTTCTCCTGCCGTGGTAGCATAGCCTCTTCGGGAGTCGTTCGACTATGCTGGAAGACGTGGGTTCCACTTCTGGCCACGGCGCCCGTAATGAAGTGGGGTGGGGTCGGGGGGGGGGGGGGGTGCGACGATCACCCACATGACAGTAACGGCACGTATAACTCTCCACCAATTGCATATGATTGTGCTTTCACGCATGGACTCTTCAGTTGTATCACGTTTTCTGGAATGTTGGAAACTTAAGTTTGATGCTTGTTTATGTGCCTCTTTGAATTCATAACTGCTATTGGTGCTGTGCAAAACTAAAAGTGCATATGCTTCATAAGTAGGTTGACACCGAAAAAATGCTATATTTGTGTACAGTATAAGGTAATCGATAAAGCAAGACTGTTTAGGGAAGCCTAGCTCCTTGTATTTGCGACAAATGTGTATTATGAAACAACACAAGACACACATGGAAGTGTGCGTAGCATCGTGCAAGTGCCTGGCGACAAAAAAACAGAGGCACCAATAAAACAGAAAAATAAACGTCACTCCTGCATTGCATGCCTCAAACTTAGGTAAAAGTAATCACTCACGACGGGCAAGAAAACCGTGGTTAGGGAGAAACGTCAACACGGAAGGAGCAACGTTTCTCCTTAGGTTCTTGCCGCGAGATGTCGGGACCAGTAAAGCGGCTGAAAAGGAGTAAGTCACTGTGCCGAAGGAGAAACGGAGCTCATTTCTTCATTCCCACTCCCCCGTTTTTTGAGTGTATCGATCCGGCACGCATGGGGGTCGATGGGAAAAACAACTCTTGAGGGATTCGATTTTTTGATTTCTTTGTGCACGTTAATCAGTGAATAACTCACGCATGCGCTACTGCTTTTATCAATATTCTATTACCCTATGATTACACATGAGTTTCGTTGCTTTTGCGTGTATACAAAACTACACATTGATTAAAATTTGGCGTGCACTTTCACTCTCGACAATGTAAAGGAAAATGGATATTGAGCCTCCAGTCAGCCACAACCTATGTTGTAGTGACCTTTGGTTAACACACAACAAACGTTTCAGCAGTGGCTGTTTTAATATAGTACAGACAGGCACCCGTGTTAACCCTATAGAGTTTACCCTACAATCAATGAAGAAATGCTACTTTCATGAGGAGGATTGTGATTTTTCGGCAGTCTGTGTACAATGCAGGGCTGAAGCAATGTCAGTAAAAAATGTTTCAGGGTGCGTTCGACCCAGAGACCCATGTCTACAAGCCTGCTGATGTTCAGTACATTATTGACGAAGCGACCACAAGAGGCATCCGTGTCATGGCTGAATTCGACACACCCGGTAAGACAGCACTGCCATGATGCCGCGCGATATGACATTAATGTGGCCCTGGCCGTCTAAAGACGGCTGTGGTCGTAGCAATGCGGCGTTTCTCACTGAATGAATGAATGAATGAACTTTATTAGGTCTTTCTGAAGGCATTTTCGCACGTTGCGGGCCGCTCCCTTGTCAAAACAAAATATTTAGTCTCTCCGCTGTGTCAAGATTCTGTTTGACGGCCCAGAACTGTTCGAGGGTGCGATGCAGGATGGCCCGAGCATCTCGGCAGACCAGTTTGCAGTGAACTTGCTCTGCAGTGGCCGTGGCATGAAGACAGTGTGAAGCGCGTGAGAGCAGCGTTGTTAAAATTGGTTGAAAGAACGCGCGTGGCGTTGGAAAGGCATGTGGAAAATGAGCGGCGGGTATCAAAAAAAAAAAACACTGTGTGTGAACACGTCAGCGTCGCCACTCAGTCAACATTTTGATAGTTCAGCAACGTCAACGTATTGTCACTCTATCCTTTCGCCAACTCAACATGCACTTCCCACAGGCGTGCTCGTGGGCGTTTGTTCCCCTTTAGGCACGTTTTTCGTTCTACCTGCAGCGTGAAATTTTTCACTCTCGAAGGCGCCAAGGGTGCACACGCACTACGCTTGAGCTGCTCGTTTCGCTCTAATCAAGTATTGCAGATAATTATAGGAACAGGTGGTCATCAGGGGCGCTAGCATCATGGCGGCAACGTGGCTGTGATTGGCAACGCCATGAACGCAGTGAAATTCAAGGCGAGACATCGTAGCCGCGTGAATAAATCACTTTTACGTCTGCGTGCGTGTGTGCATAGTCTGTGCAATAAAACTGATAGATAAATCATGCCGCTCGAATTGGGTACTGCTCCTCGGCAAGAGCAAACGAGCTGCACGTACCCGATCTCCGCCACAGGCGCCTGTCGGTCAAACTGACTCACGCGGAATCTCGGATACAATCTCGTTGATTCTAGGCCCGAGTTTAACTCGGGACTGTGATTTTCCCTTTGTGTTTGTCAAGCGTTTGATACAGTCAACGCTAAGCGGCAGCGTTGCTTATAAAATAACTTTGTTGGCTTACACTACTTGATTGATTGATATGTGGAGTTTAACGTGCCACAACCACCATATGTTTATGAGAGACGCCGTAGTGGGAGGGCTCCGGGAATTTTGACCACCTGGGGTTCTTTAACGTGCACCCAAATCTCAGCCCACGGGCCAAGAACACTTCCGCCTACATGGGAAATTGAACCGCCGCAGCCGAGATTCGGTCGCACGACCTGAGGGTCAGCAGCCGAGTACATTAGCCACTAGACTACCACGGCGGGGCGCTTAAACTACTTGTATGAGGCTTGAGTCATGGAGGAGCTTATGACAACCTAGCTTCGAGCAGCTTTTTGAGTTGGTAGTCTACTCATGTGCGTGATCGGGTTCGAAGAGAAGACCACATCAGCTCTGTCTTGAATTGGATTGAACTAGTCGATGGAGCCCTAATGACCTTTACACTGAGATGTCATGTTTTTATATATGAAGTTTCAATTGAAAGCAACTATATGGTGTGCGATGAGCAATGTAATGATCAGTGTGAAGCTAATAGACGTAATTCTGATTAGCAGAACACTAAATGTCATAATATTAGTAAGGGCTGATTATCATAGTTTTAATTTGCGTGCTCATGCATAAGGTCCTGTTTTTTAGCACAGTTTAGTTAGCTCTTCAACTTGCACGCATTAGTTAGCCAGGCTATAGCTTTACATGGCTTAATCAGCACGTTCTTCTTAAGATGAGGTGTGGCGTAATTACCTGGGCCTTACCAAGACTTGGTGTATTTTGCTTAGTCATAGCATGTTCTTGCCTAACTGGCACAATATACCGTTAGGCTAATTAGCTAATTAGCCAGTCGCACGTGCTCGGTTGCTAACAGGTGATAACAACAAAGTCTACCCGCACCACCTGAGCAACGCTTGAATGTAGTACACGCTGACACGAGGCCTCCTAGAATGTACAGACCAACATGTGGCGTCGGATATAGCCGTGCTCGCGATGTTGTAACGTGATGAGCCAATAGTCATCTCAGAGGCAACTGTGCTGGTTACTCTAAAACAGACTTACTGGAGCATCAGAAGCTTTAAAATAAATTTAAACACCTGTGCCACCCGAAAATATCATCACGAAATGTTTCTGACTCTTTTATTGCATAGGTTCACTTCTGCATGCCTTGTAGCGACAAACAAATGAAAGATGCCTTTGGTTTAAAAAAAACGCCCAAAGTAGTCGACCGTTCTTTAAGTGATGACTGGTTTCATCGTAACCGATGAAACACGGCGTGCTGAGGGGTGGATTTGACTTTTTCGTTCTCTTGGCTCATTCATAAGGGGGTTTCGCCAGAGCTCGGGAATACCTTGAGTTTCGCGAAACTCGGCCGATCCTGCATATAGCCTCGAGTCTTGAGCTGGCAATAGCACCTTTCATTTGGATGGTGCGATGAATTGGCAAGTTAGCTATATCACCACAGAAGTGATATGTATTAGTTGGCTGCATTTCTGGATACATCGTGCGCAGTTGCATAGGGTTAGGGTACGCCCTGTCCTGAATAAGCCTGCGTGTGAGATCCTGAGGTCTGCCTAACTTTCTGTGCGGGGGGGGGGGGCGGGTATTGTCTCTGCGCGAGGTATAACTGAGCCGCCAATTCGTTATACGAGATGGGAGGGTCCTGGTTCTACAAAACGTCAGCCCTGCAACCCCCCCCCCCCCCCCCCGATAGCTACATGTTTTTGTAGTCCCTGCGCAGCTATGTACACTGACTCGTTCAAATGGGCGGAACTCCCTCAGTGCATTTAATGTGAGATAGGAACCAAACGAGTCTGAGCGTGGCTTGATCTTGTCCGAACGACCCGTAAAGCCGCTTACGATCACCATGTAGAGCCGAAATAAATTCTGCTGTCCAGCAAGGCTGACGCATCGCCTCTTACTCTGCTGCTAAAGCCACCATCGTCCGAACCGTTGTCGAGTTCGTGAAACTGCCCTCGTGGTGCCGCAAACGCTTTCCAATTTAGATACCAGGCCGTATTGGCGAAGTCACAGTCCGCAGTGTATTCCTGAATAATTTGTAGTAGAGCCTAAGCACTGGCCCGTCTTCTACCCTCGCGATTCTCGTTGTGGACTTTGTAGAATGGAGGACAAGCTGATTTGTTTACGCATATGAAAGAGAAAACTTAACAAACAACACTTCATATGTGGGATCCCCTGTTCTGCTCGATGTTCCTCTGGAACGCCAGGTGGGCAATCTTACGAATTGTACCCTCTCCTGTGTCAACGCAATTTTTTCCGGCGTGTCGCCCATGCCAAGACGAAGCAGTCTGTCCAAGCGTATGTACAAGGCGAGCCCGTAAAGCTCGCTTGATGGCTTTTCTCATTAACGTGTTGGCTTGTCATGCTCCTATTTCGTCCAGCTGGGCATGACTGCAATGTAGGTAAAAGGACACATTCTAAAGGCGTGCAACAGACTTACGAGGTTGTCTTTTCAAAGTCGCTGTTGTCTGTTGGCAACTATTGCTATATGTTAACTGGCATTGTCAGTTTTTATATGCGAAGCATTTCTTAGCGAACTTCGGCTATTTGAGCGTATCGATCTAACTAGCACCCTACGACTATTAGGTCTCTGGGCCGTTTAAACAGGATATTCATACCGAACTCAGTAGGGTATAGCATGTCTGTATGAGAAACATATTTGATTAGTTATACTATGAAATTCATAACATGTATGTCTTGAATGCCATAATTGACGTTTCATGGTTCTGCGGCTCTTGCGGTGGTTCCGTTCACATGGCATGTTGTAAAACTGGTATAGTATGACACGATTGCATGGCGAACACAAGCGACAAAGCTTAACATGAAAACTATGTCATACGTGTCATGTAACAACATGACTGCATGCCACGCTCATGAAGCGCTCATGGCCGTTTCGCTAGCGTCACATATACCGAATTCGGTATTATAGCACCTGAATAGATGAAGAAGGTATGTTACTGGTTCAAACATGATAATCTAAGATGCGTGTCATGTATCAACATGACTACATGCTATGCTCATGATGTGCTCGCGGCCGTTTCGCTAGCTTCAAATGTACCAAACTCAGTAACACGCGACCCAAACGGACGACATAGGTAAATGACACATCCAAATATGATAATCCCGACATGTGTGTCATGTAAGAACATCACTACATGTCACACTGATGATGCGCTCGCGCCCGTTTTGCTAGCTTCACATGTGCCAAATTTGGTTTTACGTGACGCCAATGAATGACGAAGGTACGTGACTGGCGCAAACATAATAATCATGAGATTCGTGTTATGCGAGAACATGACAACATGCACAGTCAAGGCGTCAACACATTTCGTCATGACGTGGTGCGTGTGCTCACCGGCGTTCATTTTGTCGCGTCACGCCGGAGTTTCTACGCCAGGCACCGGTCCTGCCATCAACTTGCAGGCGCGTGCCGCGCTGCGTTGCTTTGACGCATGCACGTTTCAGCGCGTCCGGCGTTTCTCCGTCACGAAAAAAGAGAGACGCAGTGTTGTCTAGGTAACGCATCGGCATATAGTAATGTTATTCTATGGCATCAGCGCGAAATGTAGCATGTCGCATTTCACGTCGGTTGCCGTCGTTCCGCGCCGATGAACGCTGGTCGCGCCTAGCGTCAGACTATGGAGTGCTCGCACTCTGCTAATGCAGCGTCACTGTTCCCAGCGTGCGCGCGCGTCTGCGCTACAGTGTAATATATTGGGCCCTTCATGATGCGCGCATGGCCGTTTCGCAAGCGCTCTAAATACCTAATTTGGTGTTACGTGGCATCAAGGGATGGCCAAATATTGACTGGTGCAAGCATGATAATACTGACACACGTGTCATGTAAGAACATGACAACATACCACCCTCATAGCGTGCTCGCGGCCGTTTCGCTAGCTCCACATAAACTAACTTTGGTATCGCATT